TATAACAAAATCCCCCCATAACAGTCCCCACAACCACTCACACCATAACCATGTACACAACCACACCCAGCTCCCCCAAACACACACACACACCACATGCACAACATGGCACCTCCCTAACACACACACACAACTACATAACACAACACAAGACGGCCCCTCACAAAGCCATACCACACACACAACACAACCACACACACAACACCCCTGATTACACAGCACAATGACACACACGTACACAACACATGCCCCTTCACACTGCCACACATGCCCCCCCATACCAACCCCCCACAGACACACACAGCACAACTCCCAAAACACACACACTACCGTGCCACACAACTACACAACTGATGACTCCTCGCACAGCCACACCCATACCCCCTTAACACCCCTGGCAAGTACACACTACACAACAACGCACACACTACACAACATATCAGTACCCCCACAGCTCACCACACCCATGCACCCCCCCAGCAAACGTCCTATAACACACACACACTCCACAGCCATGCATACAACATAGCCCCCACACACTACAACCGCACACACAAGTACACACCATAACCCTATATGCACATGCATGCAGCCACACACATATGCCCACATACACAACCTGAAACCTCAGTCACAACTACACAACACAACCCCTGCACACCACTACACCCATACATACATACCCCATAACATAAAAGCACACCCTAACACACACACAATATGTAACACAATGATACACAAAACTACATAACTCAAATCATGTACACATGTATGCAACCACACCAACACACACACAACCCACAACCACACTGGCAACTACACAACACAACAACCTTCACACACTGCTACACCCATGCATATGCATATCCATAGCATAAAACACACTCTAACACACACACAACACAACCACACACACAACCGTGCAAAACAACCCATGTGCACACACAAGTGGCCACACCCATGCACACATACAACCTAAAACCACATTCACAGCTACACACCATGACACAACAGCCCTCGCACACCACTACACCCCTACATACACATAGCCCAGGACACAAAACACCCTGAACCACAAGCACAACTTAACCTTCACCACAGCCCGTAACACAACCACACATACAACTACACAACATAACCTCCTGTGCACATATACCCTGCCACATCCATGTGCACGTAGACACATCACAACCATGCACACACAACTACACAATGCGATGTAACCCCACATGGGCATGCAGACCGCCACACCTGCCCACCTGTGTAGGGGGCATCACAGCCACCTACACAGGACCCAGGCATATCACACACACACACACACACACACACACACATGCTACGAGTCCGAGGACCACCCTGCTAGGTCTCTCTCTCTCACTACACACTACTCAAACCACACAACCACATCCACACCCACTGCTAAAACAACCCCCTGCCTGCATGTGCACACACACAACTGCAACATAACCAGACACCCATCCACATTTGCTCCCCCCCAGGCAGACCTCTGGAGAAAACACAGCTCCAGAACACAACCGGTCCCAGGACAAGAAGCGGGTCCTCCAGCTGGGCGGGGAGGAACCCAGGGTCATGGTCCTCCTCCCCTGCTCTCCCCTAGATCCCCCCCTGAGCCCAGGGTCCGGGCACTCACCCAGCCCCAGGCAGCTGAGCACCAGCACCACAGCTAGCAGCAGCCGGCTCATGGTGGCACTGGGAGCACTGGGGCGGGTGGGGCTGGGGCCCCTGATGTCTTGCAGGGGGCGGGGCCAGGCCCAGGGAGGGGCTGGACACACCCACTACACAATCATACAGGGTAACACAACATCAGCCCCCAGGCAGATAGTAGGAGACACCTCAAGAAGACATACAGAGGGAAACCTCCCCCCCCATCCCTCTCACCCCTGCCCCCAGGTCTCTCTCACACCCACACCCACACACACTTCAGGAGTCTGGGGACCACCCCCCCAGGTGACACACACACACTGTCGTGGAAAACACGCAGCAAACTTTTGGGTCAGGTCAGCAGAAGCTTTATTTGGCTAGAGCTAGAGCTGTCGGAGGGGCCCAGAGTGACATGGATTCACCATGCACTTGGAGGGGGCTCCCTTCCTAAACGTTAAGGCAAAAGGCTTATATACCTTTTAACAGCCACCTACAATTCACGTGAACGTATAGTGAATTTTTTTAGAAACCTAGCTGCGGTAACAGTTACAAAAACATTATTTTCATTTCTTTATTACAAAACACTCCTTTCTTGCTGTCTCAGTAACCGCTGATTACCACAAGGCCAGACATTCTTCCTCTTTTCCTAGCCCACACTTTTACACAACGCCTTTTGTTTTATCTTTACAACCTTTTTTTAATCAAAGTTTAAGGCCTTTGCTTTTTTTATATCACAACACACATTACACAACATAATTGCACACCACACACCTGCATGCACACTGCACACATTGGTGCGCACACAACCCCCCCCCCAACTACACAACATGACCCTATGTGGCTCCATGCTGTCAAACATGCTGTCAAACACATTCAAACCCACAACCACCCTCACCTCTGCTGCCTCAACCCCCTCAACCAGCCTCGCATCCGCTGCCACAACCCCCTGCCCACATGTGCACACGCACAACTATCCAACATAAGCAGACACCCATACAATACACATCTGCCACCACGTGCACACACACAACCCAGGCATCCAGGACCCCCCCCCCCCCCCCCCACACACACACACCTACACATTAAACACCCCCCCTTCCCCCACCCCAGACAGGCACTAACCACACATCCGAATAAACTGGTGACACAACCAGCGCTGGGCTGGAAATAGCCTTGTCTTAACAAACTCCCACACGCAGGGGGCATTGGGGTGGGGGATGGATGGGAACAGAGCAGGACACACACAAACCTGGTCATCAGGCAGTACATACACAGCATGGAGGGGTACACCCCCCCAGCACACACAGAACCCAGGCGTCCAGGACACACACACACACACACACATAGCTAACACAACCAAGGTATCGAGAACAGATACACAGACGCAGACAGACAGACATGCACACACACACACACAACTCAGGCATCTGGGCTCTTACCCCCACCTCGTACCCCCCCAGCACACCCCCCGTCCCAGAGAACCCAGGTGGGGGCTCCCAGCCCCCACAACACCAATGAGAACATGAGGTCAGGGGGTTATCATTTATTGGGGGGTGAATATGCACAGGGCTCTGCATGGACCCCCCGCACCTCCCCCCCAGGCTCCCAGGGACCCAGGTGTCTTGGAGGGGCTGGAGGCTGGAGGTGCTGGTGCCCGTATAGGAGCAAGGCTGGGGCAGGGGTGGAGCCTGGATGCCTGGGTTCTCCCCCACCTTGTGGGGTTTAACATGGCTGGGACTGTGGTGAGTCACAGGAAGGCCATGATGTCAGTGGCGGGCGGAGCTGGCCTCCTGTGAGGTCACAGCCAGGTGACATCATCATGGGTAGCCACCATGGGGTCAGTGAGGTCACTCACCATGGCCACACTGGGAGGTGGTCATTGGTCATGTGATGGTATGTCAGAGGTCATGTGGCGTCAGCACCATGTGTATGTTGGGGGGTGTGATCAGAGCTATGAGATCATAGGGGAGATGAAGTCAGAGGTGGTCACTGTGGTGACACCATGGAGGTTGGTGGTTATGAAGTCACTATGGTAACGTGAGGGGCTGTCACAAGACACTGTCACCATGGCCCCTGGCAGATGAAGTCATCACCAGGGGCCTGTCACTGAGGTCAAAGGTTGCTTGCAAGGGAAGGCCAAAGTCACATGGGTCAAGTGAGGTAATCACATCCATGAGGTCAGTGAGGTCATTCCGTGATCACTATGGCAACACCATTGGTTAGCTGGCTATGGCAACATGAAGGCGGTCATGGGCCGTGACCATGGCTGTGGAGGGTCACAATCATGAACATGGTGACATCACAGAGATCACGTGATGTTGCCATGGCTACCCGGATGAGGTTATAGGTTGTGACCATGGCAATGACACAGAGGTCACAGGTAACTATGGTGACACTCTAGTGGTCGTGTGACATCACTGGCATGGCACGACTACTGACATCAAAGGTTGTAGGCAGGGCCACACCAAAGCGACCACGTGACATCACAGCCATGGCAACTTCATGGAGGTCAAAGGTCATAGGCAGAGTAACACTGCAGCGGCCATGTGACACTGCTGCCATGTCGATCTGCACGAGACCATGGGCCACAACCACAGCAACCCCCTGGAGGTCAAAGGTCACAGGCATGGTCATACTACAGCGGCCATGTGACCTCACCACCACGGCAACCCGGTAGACATCAAAGGTCATAGTCAGGGAGACTGCAGCAGCTATGCAAGGTCACAGCCCATCACCACGGAGATGCCACGACATCCCCCCACCCCCAATCAGGACTGTCCACCATGACCCGCTCCGGCGCCCTGCCCTCCCCAGAGCCAGGAGGGGGCAGGGCCTGTGTCCAGCGGGGGGCAGAGGGCATAGGGTCAGAGGGCACAGGGCAGCCAAGCACCCAGGGCGGCGGCCAGGCCCAGCAGGGCGGGGGTTGCCGGGGGGAGCTGGGCTGGGGGGGCCGCATTGCACAGGTCAGAGCTGCAGCAGGTGGAGGTGACGCGGTAGGAGCCCAGGTATCCGGGCAGGTACTCCCGGCCCCCGCAGTTCCATGCTGCCACGCAGCCCCGGCTCCAGATGGGGTCGTGAACCTTGTGATCTGCAAGACAGAGCGAGAGTGAGAGGCACCGGGGGGGG